ATTCAGGGAACATTCACAGAAATCTAACCCATGCCTTATTACTGCATTTATTATTCACAACAACCCCGAGAATATATATTATGCCCCTTTTACAAGGAAAAAAGAGGCATTTTGAGAACAGTGCAAGATAACATCGCAAGCAATAGTGAAAACTCTAAACCAAGGTTCTAGTCCCATAAATGGAGCTCATTCTTTTAGACCCTGGCTCATCTGAGCCCAGCCATAAAGATCCTCCCAAGTTCTACCACTCTCTTAAAAGTCAAGACAGAGTAAGAGAGGTGAGTGAAGGTTGATTAAGAGAAAAGCAAGCATTTCCCTCGAAGCACAGCCCCAGGGCTGGCATCCTCAAAACAAGCTTTGAATCAATGCATTCCTCTTTCTCCATTGGGTAGCCAGTAATAGGTCACTCTAATCAACTCCTTATTCATCACTCTTCTCTATTAGAAATCAGAACCTCTCAAGCCCGCCCAGCAAAGCTAACTCTCCCTCCCATTCCCCCACAGCACTGAGGCATGCTTGCAATTGCAAATAAAAAGACAGAGTACCACAGTGCAGAGCCTCTAAATACAATATCATAACAATCCAGGCTGGAACTGAAATAGAAATAGGGCATTCCCAATACTGATGGGGACTTCCTCGCTTTCCATTTGTAGCATGGAACTTGACAACATCATTTAAATAAAATACGTGCTTGTATTCACTTTTGCAAAAACTTCAATTGTTCTGTTCCATCTTTACAAACTTGGCAAGACTTTAATAGTTTCATTCAAAAATAACTTATGGTTGACAGGTTTTCTTAGTGCTCTAAGACTCTAATTATATTCCTTTCCTCAAATCTCCCATAAACTACACATAATGCCCATCAAGTAAAAGTGAAACTATATTTATATCGATATTTTTGAATTATCATATGCAATTCTTTTATTTACGCTACTACTACCCATACTATCATTATAAGAACTAGCCTGTTAAAATATGTTCCAACTAAAGCTTGGTGAGCTTTGAATGCTAGATAAAAATCATTCTCTGAAGCTAATGAAGACAGAAACTCTGCCTGTAACAATATTAAGTTTGTTTTCTCTGGTGATTCAGAGATGTGAGCAATCTGTCAGTAATGCATTGAGTGAAATTACTTGTCTTGTAGGAATAACTGCTGACAGTCACTTTATCTCAAGGCTGACCCAAACATCTCCCTGCTGACAAACAAATTACTATGTCTAACTTTGAAAAGGTAACTAGCTTGTTTTAATTTTGATTGGTCTTTCAGAATCTCTTACACATGTACTCAGCCCAATCCTTCATTGTAATTTTTTTTAAGGCAACAAAAAGTGTTGAGAGGGACATGTTTGAATTAATAAGAAAAAAAAAAATCACAAAAGAAGAATCCTATTATTTGAAACTAAAAAAAGGAACTGCTATGCTTCCTTCCAAGACTGTTATGTGGATGAAACTGGTGTGTCTATACAACATTAAGACTGGCAGCACCGCCAGTGACTGACTGGGTGAGTGAACACATTACTGAGACAGTATTGTAGGAATTAATTCTCTTCAATAAAGTGATTTTTAAGGCTCATATATTTCACAATCTAAACATATGTCACTGTTTCATAAACAAAATAAATGGATTAAAATAATACATTACCAATATGCTGACACATGGAGATATTTTAATTAGAAATTCTTAAGCTGTGTGGTATTTAACTGCTGTATTTGCTAAAGGAAAGCATGCATCATTTAATAAGAAGGCATGAGACAGGTGTATCACTTTGCATATGGTACCAGATTTTGTTTAACATAAGCTGCAACTATGAAACAACACGACTTCCGATTAAAAACAAAACAAAATAAGATCTTTCATATTGAAAGTAACCACATAAGATGAATCAATACACTCACACCACTTTTTCATTTTAAAAAAAGTCACTCAGAGCTTAGTTCCTGAGACAATTTTCTTCAGAAACAATCTGACATCATAGCTATTTAAAGGCCATATTTACATGACTGCCTCATTATTCTGTCCCCCCCCCCTTCTTTTGCATTCTTTTTGACTTACTTAAGGACCAATGCTAACATAGCTGAAGAAAGCAAATGGCAACTGGTTCTGAAATTTATAAGGGTGAGAGAACTGGAATAAATAGCAATATAATGTATTGTTTACTGTAGCAAGTGCCCTCTGTTCTCTAAAGGTCAAAAACATTGTAACCTTAGAGTTACAGTTTCTGATTGTTCCCAGGGTTAAATACATTATCAGAATTAATGGTTCAAGCCCCTCAACCTTCAGATACATGAGTATTCATGCCTCCATCTGCTGAACTGTTCAACTAAAAATAGCATTCTTTGGGCTTCTCTCTCCGAATATTGTGCCCCTGAGGCAGAGAAAATCAAGCCTTATATCAGCACAGTAGTATTTTAAAAATGGCTTTCTTGAGTCTTCCTTATTTTAAAGACAGAAAGAACTGGAATATGCTAATGCAAGGAGGGCCTTTCCACTTTATGTACCTTTTGTCTACTTGATAAAATTTTAGGGTATAAGTATAAATGTTAAGATTTACCTAAGCTCATTAATTTTAGAAATAACAACTTTTGAAAGTCAGACTAACTGTAATGTTAAGTAGAGAGGACTGATTCTGAGAAATGCGTGGGGTGGGGTGGGGGTGGGGGTGGAGGTGGGGGTTATATGTGTTTGGGGCTTTTTCTCCTAAGAATCTCTGTTTAGAAATAAGACCAGTTAGCATGACTGTAATGCTTTCTTCGCAGCAATAGTTTATCATGATCATGACTGTTGACAAAGCCGTGACATTTTAGCTTGTGGAAGGAGGGGAGAAACCCTAGCTGGGAAGGAAAGCAGATTTTAATAGCAATAAAGCAAGATATTAAAATTTGCTCGAGATTTAAAATACTACTATCTAGCAGCTTAGACATTGGTGTCTACTGTGCTACTAGTGGATGTCCTGATAAACATGTTACACTCATGCATGAAAGTGTGGGAAACCTGTCTTTCAAACAAGGCCAATCTTTTCTAACCAGTGTCCATACAAGCAAACAGATCAAAGGTTTCCCGACATGCAGGCAAAAATGTGCAAAACATGGAGGCTAGAGAATGGAGCAAGAATAAGCAAAAACCAAGGAAACTATCAAAGCAGCCAAACTTAAACTGCAAGGCTATGAAGGTTCTTGCATTCATGGGTTTCCTATTTAGCCTAATTAAAATGACAGACATGTGGCATATGCTGTGCTTCTAGATCAGTGCTACGCAGCTCTGGCACTCACATGTATGACATCATAGTTTCCAGAAATGCAACAGAAGCCAGATTTGACACATCAGGGGTCAATGATGTTGTGGGGGTGGGAGTGTGGGAGGTGGGAAAGAAGCCAACCTAAGTGAAAAATTGGGCAAAAGAAGAGATTGGGTAGAAATCTGGCTAAGGAAAGGTTGATGGGATAGAACACGACGTCTCAACAGAAAATAAAAGTTAAAGAGAAAAGGAAGTCTTGAATGTGAGCCAAGGCCGCCTGCTTTCACATTCTTCCAAGCACTTAAAAGCTTCTCACGCTGACTATCCTGAGTGGGTAAGTTTGCTAACTGTCATCACACACAAAGGCTTGTTCCTAATATCCAGTTACCTCTCTTTTTAGCTTTCCTGAACATAGATTTTCAGAAAAGCTTCTTCCTAATATCCAGTTATCTCTCTTTTTAGCTCTCCTGGATGTAGTAGAAATATGGCACTCTCTCTATAGCCAAAAGAAAAGAAATTTCTTCTGACTGCAGAGAAGACAGCAGACCCACTGGCAGTATGTGTCTAGTCACGTCTGAGTGGAAACCCCCATCTACCCGTTATCTCAAAGCAAAAGCAAAGAGGGAGGCAGGCGGCAAGCTCTGGATCCTTCCTTAGGCTACTTTCACGGGGCCTTTGATCTTGGCCTCTTCCTTCTTCTGAGGAGTGATCTTTCCCTATCATTTTCCAAAGAGGCAGATTTAAAAGCAGCAGAAAAGATAATGTCAAAGGGATCCTTTATTGATTACACAGTGTTTGGCAGGGCCAAAGGGAGTTGAATATGCAACCTTGCTAATGTAATTATTTTCTTTTTAAAATTTCATTTCCTATCCTTCATTAGGAAAATTTGGTATTAGATCTAGCCCAGAAAATTAAAGTGTTTTTCAGTCTGAGGTAGCCTTTATCTATTTTCTAAAAAATGCAACAGATAGCTGGGACTTCTCCATCTGACAGTCCTAGGGAGGAACCCCAATGACACAGGAAAGGAATTAAGCATGAAATTGGAAAGAGGAGGACTAGGTGCCTATAGAAAAAAAGGACTTGGTTTTCAAAAGAGCCACATAAGCCATCTTCTCTCAAATAGTAAGAAGATCCCACAAAAACAACAAAGAGCTTTCCTGGAATGTTAAACATGAAAAGGGTACTACAGACGTTTATCTGGCAAAAGCAACCAGCCAGGCCAAGGCACCCACCCCTACTTCAGCCTGAGAAAACTAAGTTAGAAAACCCAGATTAGGTAAAGTTAGAAACCCTGGCTAATAACCTTGACTTGATGAGTATTTTATAATCTTGTTTAAACCTTCTGAACCTTGACTGTTTTATCTACATGAGCAGAATTATATTTTATCACATCTACAGAGTTAGTCTATGGTCAAATAATTTTTTTCAAATGTCTAAGTATTTTTTAAATACTATACAACCCTATACATAAGAAAAGGTAAAATAGTGAGGGAAGAAAAAGAGAGTAATAAAGACACTTAGAATATAAAGAATTTGCCTGATTCTTTATATAGCAATGAACAGCCTTAATTCTGGGGCACTGCTTTGGGATTTGCCTTTTTCTCTGAAAGAAAGGAGCAAAGGAAGAGACTCCTTAGGAATGAGAAAAAGGGAAAGATTAGGTATAGTGTTTAGGCTGAATGTCTGCCACTTTTTAAAACGCCTAGAATATGACTAAACAATCCAGTCCCCCACCCAATGAAGCACCAATGGAAGCATTCATACCTCAATCTGTTTGTGGTTGTAAGAGTGGCCACCACCATGTTCAAAGGTGTCCAAATTCCTGCCAAAACGGTCACTTAGGCCCTTTAGCCTTGGGTTAATTTGTGGGTGGGAGACATGACCCTTCTGTTTAGTAGCATATTCAGAAAAAAAAAAAAAAAAAACAAAACATACTGTCAGAACTCATGAAACAGAATACATATTTCTAAATCCAGGATATTGACCGCATCAAAGAAATGAAAGTGGAAGGTTTAAGACCCAGTTTCTCTCTTTTACAGAAACTTGGCTATAGGATCAAACAACAGTACCGGTTTATTTTTTCTGCCTCTGACTCTTGAAGATGCTCTACAGTAAAGCCAAGGAAGAGGAGACATAGATTAGGTTGATGATGGAGAGGGTTCTTTTTAGATTTGTCCCAACTACAGTAGTCAGTAGTGTGGAAGGTGACGGTCTGCAAGAGAAGTAGGGTTGCTGCTCCTCTTAGGTAAACTTTCTAGCTCCTCCAGGCAGCCCATAATGGGTTACATCTTTATGGCTTCCTGGATGAGGCTTATGGCAAAAACTTCTCAAAGTATTGCAAAAAAAATTCTTTATTTGCAGATCCAGTTGGAAACATTCAAAATGATGTTTTTTCATGGTACAATAGTTGTATACTTCTTATGTCCAAGATGCATAGGTAATAGCAACACAGAAATAAAAACGCCTCGCCAGATGCTATTCTCTAGATGGTTTAAGAAAACTCAAAAATAATCACAGAAAATTTTAAGAATAAAAATTATCTTTGATAAACTTCCCACTGTATTGAATTCAAGTTATTGTCATATACTTCCTAAATATTTCAAATACTGAAACTTTGACTTATTTTAATGATCTTTCCTTTTTTATTTTATAATTAGAAGATATATTCATACTGAAAGTCAGCGGCCTATTCCAATGTAGAATGGTATAAGGATCACTTAGTCCTACTTCAAACTTCTCATTTTACTGTAAAGAAGATAACGTGTGAGCGATTTTTCATTTAGGTTCCAAAACACTTTCTCTCCAGAGTTAGCTTTATAAATAAAGAACACCGATCCAGAACTTGGTCAGCCACTGTGCCCAGACTGTGACCCTGGAAAGGATGAGGATACACATATTCAGGAGCAATGTGTATACTTTACCAAATAATTATCAAGTAATCTGAGAATAACAACTCTTCTAGCAGGTCAAGGCTGCAGTGGCCAGGAGCGGCCACTGCACTCCAGTCGGGGCGACAGAGTGAGACTCCAACTCAAAAAAAAAAACAAAAAACTTCTTTATTTTATAAACTGCAAGAAAGAAAATACCCAACATCATTTTGTGTTTTGACACTTATATGTAAAAGCTAATCAGGACATAAATGGAAACATGGATGAAAAATTGACAACATAGTCAATAACAAAATAAAAAATTGTAAAACGATTAACTCACCTGGTAGAGAACACATAATACCAAGTCATAATGTGATTTTTTTTCCTTTAAAAATATTGAAACTGGCAGTTTTCTCTTCTATTTGCAGTATGGTAAGCATGTAAGGTGTTAATCCTTCTGGCCTACGCTTAAAAAATTATTTAACATTCAGGCCATTATTTAGCATACAGCTGGTTAGCAGTTTTCCACTAAAGTACTGGCTCCTATCCCACTTTTTTTTCTTCTGGCACTTACCTGGAGCTGTAAAGGGCTGAGTCCAGAAGCAGCAGCAGCTGCCATTGTTGATGGAATGAACTGTACGGGATAGTTATCACCTGTCGGAAAGAACAATGCACACAGGTTTAGACAATGCACAGGGAATCGCAGCAGACAAGTACAAACATGGTCCTTGGATTGCCTGAGCTTTACAACGTTGCTCTAAGCCCAAACATCTGCAGAAACAAAAGGCTTAGTTGGGCACAGACTTGCACTGCTGCCTTGGAACTTTTTGTTAACAGATAGCTGGTAGGCAAACTGGCAAAACATGAATGTGATGTTAAAAAAATTAAATGTGCAATTCAAGCATGTTCACTCCATTACAAATCTTGTAATACATCATTTTTTTAAGAGTAAAAAAAATATCTTAAAGCCAGGATGACACTCAGTACACTGAAGAAGCACTGAGGCTTTTATACTAGAACAACAAAAAAGTTTTGGCTTGGCAGGCAAGACAGTATTGAGAGTGCAAAAAGGACTATGAGCTATTGACTGCCCACAGTTCTAAAGTTTATTTGATTAAAACAATTTAAAATTTATTTGATTAAAACAATTTAAAATACAACTTCTTCAATTTAGGATGGCTGAGAGGGCGGCTAATCTTATCTACCAGTATTCTATGAAATGCCTGGGATACCAATATCTATGCAAACCATATTTTTCAGAATTAACTGCTGGTATGGTACTAGTAGAACCCAACACACAATCATGCACACTAAGAACTTATCAAACATTGTTTGATGATGGTTTGATTCAATGACCACATATTTTACATGGCATGTCTGTACTAAATGCCTCGCAAAGATTGAGCATGGTTCAGCAGAGATCAACGCTACATTTAATGTGTTCCTGACTCCAGACCACTTCTAAACAGGGAGACTGAAGTATCTTCTGTGACCTAAGGACACAGACTGTATGCAGTGACCTGAAGAAGCGAGAAAAAATGCTGAGGAATCTATCATGATAGTAGTGACTGAAATAAAAATTAGTATTTATGGATAAATTACAAAATATCAGTGACTTAATGGAGTATCACTTTGGCTTCAGCTACTTATTTAAAGTCAGTGTTATGTACTATCTCTAGGCTACATTTTAATAGGCTGCTCCTCCACACATTTTTGACATTTATAATAATCATGCTGTTTTGCATGAACTTTTCCTCACTGAAAGCTGAGTGTAATAATGAATAGACAGTGTAGAAAGAATCACAGTGATAAAGGCAGTCAACTAAAAAACAATGAAACCTCTCTTTTTATTTTCTTTCTTCTCACAGACACTAATATTGGAGTCTTCCTTGTGCCCCTGGTTCCTTGAAATTCATCCTGCTTGCCGCATGAAGTGCTGGCCCAATGTAAATGTTAAGTTGCTTTCACTTTTAACAAATTGTTAGCTTCTAATCTACACAGTCTCTTTGCATCATATCCATAATACCTCATCAGACCATTGAGCACAGTGTGTGCTTGTACACAGTCCAGTAACAATTGGCTTCTGATTGCATATGGAGCGCTGCTACAATGCATTCACTAACACTATATTGTGCTGGTCTCCTATGGAGTCATGTTCAAAATATCTGATCTTGTTTTTTCCTTTCCATGAGGCTGATTTTGGTTTGCAGTGCTATATAAGCTTTTTAAAAAAGATAACTAGGCCGAATTATTTTTTATAGGAAATGACTGTCACTTTATGCTTAAATAATTCTACTGATCTTCTTGATATTTAAACTAAATTATCTGAAGAAAGAATATCCTAATCTAAGTCAAATAGTATTTCTTTGGTCAATATCTTATCAACTAAAAAAAATGCAAAACGATGCTGAATTAATGATGCTTCAAAAATAGAAAACACACACAAACACACACACACACACACACACACACACACACATACACGCACACACACACACACACACACACTCCATTCCAACCATCAACATGGACTGCCTCCCAGAACATTTTAGAGCTGTTCTTTCTTTAAATATCATGCATTATTCATACTAACGCTAAACCACAACCCCCCTCCCTGTAAGTTTAATACCAGTTGCTTTATTTGTACTAAAACATTTTTCATGTCAAACATATTTTTAAAAATCAAACTCTAAAAGAATTCCCTGGGGCACTCCTTTTTTCATAGCTGTCATGCTTCTATGCTATGAAATAGCTGATTTTTTTTTTTTACAGTTTTTGGCTTGCCAGTTAATTTATTACTATCTCTACCACACCCTGTGGTACTCTCCAGCTCACCTGCTGGCTACAAACAGCTTTCTTTCCACTGCTGACAAGCATATTTTTAAAATGTTTTTAACCTTTCTGCTGGCTTGAATCTGTATATCTGAATATAATCTTTAGAAAGTCATTTCTCTGTAATATATCATTGTATCAATACTAAAAGTAAAAATGAATACATTAGGGTAACAGAGTGTATCTCAGAAGATGATTAAGAAGAGAGAGAAAAAGGGAAAGGCAGCAGAAGTGAAGACGAGGGACAAGAAGAGGGGGATCTAAAGTAGAAGAGAAAAATGTAAGAGGGAGAGGGATTTAAGGGTATTGTGAAGTTTAGTTTTTTAATAGCAAAGTTACATGCTTCCTCCTCTAGTTTTTTCTGTGTAAGAATCGATCAAGAAAAAAGTGCTCAGTGCCTGACTTGGCAAGGAATCAGTCAACATGTTGTAGCAATTTTTTTCAAATTTGTCTCTGGATTTGAAATGCTTGCGTGAGGATCCATTCTTTTTAAATTTGTACAATGGAAAATGAAGCCTGTTGGAACAGGTTGGCTTTAGGCACTGCCATAATCTGGCCCTTGCTCCCTCTAGGGTAAGAAGACAAACTCCAAAAGCCAAAGTGGGAAATAATGCCCATTCTGTAAATCCATTTTTCTATCCTTCTATGTCTTCCAACAGTTTTTCTCTGAAGATTGCAGAGAAAATACAAAGCAGTATTTATCTTACAGAAAATTTGCTTGACATTAGTTTTACTAGTTAGAATAGACAACATTCCTTTGGAATCAAAGCAGCAAGCGTCCCTAAGTGAGAGAGAGTACATTCTTAAATTTTCAGAGGACTGAAACGAAGCCAAAGCTTAGTAGAACTTAATTACAGGAGATGGAGAGCTTTTACTAAGAACCTACGACTCATTAGATTCAGGCTACCTCCTGTGAGAAAACTTTTAATTTGAATGATTCAGATATAAATTCCACTTTTTTAAGAGTACAAAATTCCATGGGTAAAATTCTGTCCATTACTTTTATTCTTCAGAAAGGCAAGAGACAGGATAGTTGCAGTATCCTGAGATAGTAACTTCACATATTAACACACCAGATAAATAATTTAGAGAGGTTGGGAGAAGTAAAGACAAACAAACAACAAAACAAAACAAAACAACATATTCTAGGAGAGTAGACTCCAGAATTCTTTGCTAAATTCCCAGAGTTGGAATTCAGTCTCATACCTAATTTCCCACCCACCAAAACAGAAAACAACTTGTTACACACTACTAACTCACAAATTATTGTGCAGTGCCATCATAGGATGATAGGTTCTCTGTCTGTAGACCCCACTTTCATGAGCTGGAGCCATTCTTGTTATAATATGAAAATATCTGAATCATAACCACCACTGCAAACTTGAACATACCACACGGCATGGGTCTTGCTAAATGTATGTATTCAGTTTAGTAAAATACGACAACTCTTCTATACTCTGAGGGAACGCCATAAGTCTGAATTTATCTTTGTGGGCCACCACATTGCAGCAAATGTTAGCAAATAATAGGTGACACATTTAGAACAGTAAAAATAAAACAAAAGCTTTAATTTTTTCTGAGGAAAAATGAACAAAAAAATTAGCAAAGATTGTGATACATACTGCTGAGATCACCATGCTCTTATTTCTCCTGCCAAATCTCTCCTTCTCTATTCATCAAAAAATAGATCAATGATGAAAACTGTCTTGATTCCAGGACTTTCTCTAAGATCATCTGCATTGTTTTGCATACCTTTAAGAAAGCTAAGGATCAAGGATCAATATTAATTCTTTCACGTATTTTAGTTCATAGTTGCATCCAGACCCTTGACTTTTCATGAAATTTTTCACAATGACAATTAAATAAGTGATTATGAGTGAACTAACCTTAATTCATGCCCATTACAAGAAATCAACCAAAGGAAAAAAAAAGACCCTCAAAGTTCATGCCTTCATGATAGCTCTCCAATGATATAGCCTCCATACATGAAGGAAAACACAGTTAAAATAAATTGTTTTTTTTTTTTTTTTTTGAGTTGGAGTCTCACTCTGTCACCCAGACTGGAGTGCAGTGGCCGCTCCCAGCCACCACAGCCTCGACCTGCTGGGCTCCGGTGATCCTTCCGCCTCAGCCTTCCAAGTAGCCGGAATTACAGGCGCGCGCTACCACGCCCGGCTGATTTTTTGATTTATTGTAGAGATGAGGTCTCGCTGCCCAGGCGGGTCTCGAACCCGTGGGCTCAGGCAATCCACTCACCTCAGCCTCCCAAAGGCACGGGATTACAGGCTGAGCCACCGAGCCCGGCTTAAAATAATTCTTGACCTTTATACAACTAGGTTAGTTTACATAGGTAAACATATTTTCTTCCTAGTCCTCAACACTCATTTAAAAATGAGGATACTAATCTGAGGAACCTCAGAAATGCTTTGATTCCAAATGAATAGATATCATTAATCAAGCATTACAATAATGGTTACACATCTCTACTTTAAAATATTCTGGATGATATGGAATTGAATGGCTTTACAAGATGTCATCTGAATAGCCCCACACATATAAATTACATTTTATTCACAGCAAAAAAGTTAGATTTCCTTAAGATCACACATACTTAGACATGTCCCTAAGATTATGGAATATCAAAATCAGAGAAATTCAGTCTCAATTCTATCTCCACTATTTCCAGATGTGAAACCCTTAGAAAAGTTAGTTAACTTTTTAGAGTATTAGTTTCTTATTTTATTTTAATGAAATAAAGATAATGTCACTTATTACCACTGATGTCTAAGATTATTATGAAAATTAAATGAGATTATACAAAC